GAAAATGATGTATGGCACTTCAATAATCAAGATTTATACGGCTGTGAAAAACTTAACAGTGAAATTTTGTTAACGCAATTCATAAACTCAACAAAAATTAGAATTGCAAGATTTGATAATATATTTGGAGAGGGTAATAAATGGGTTGGAAGGGGAGAGAATGTTCTGGCTTCGTTAATTCGTAAGGCCATTTGCTCAGTTAATAAACAAAGCTATTATGAAATAGAGTTAAAGGATTCTGAAGATCAATGCCAAAGTTTTTTATATATCAAAGATTGTATCGATGCTATCCTTAGATTAATGGAAAGTGATTATTCTAAACCATTAAATATTGGATCCGGCAATGCTGTTTCAATAAGAGAATTGGCATATATTGCTTTCGAAACTATTGGAATAACAAGGGAAAAAGTTAAATTGGTAATAGATGAGAACAAGACTGTAAATGTTCAAAAATAAAAATTCAGATAATACACTTATTGATAAAGTTCTAGGATGGACACCTAAAACATCGATTCGAGAAGCTATGGAAAAAACGGCGATGTGGATAAAAATTGAAATTGGCAAAGAACTTAATAAATGTGATAATGAGTTAATGAGAAAAGAATTAAAAGAAAGCTACAGAAAAAGCAAAAGTAGTGAAACAAAAATACTAGATGATGAAATCAAATTTGGAATACTTCTTCCGATTACATCTCGTGGGCTAGAAAGCCCTGAAGATTATCTTTATAACCTGAACAATTTCGCAAAAAGTGTTTATGAAACAACGCAGATGGATATTATGGGTATGAACGGTATTAAATTTTCACTAAAGTTTTTTATAGGAATTGATAAAGATAAAACTTTATTCCATCCTAAAGAGAATAATGTTGCAGAACAAATACTTAAGGAACACGGATTTATGAATGTAGAAACACGCGAGTTTGATCTGCATCCTGGATCTATATGTAGAATCTGGAACGATTTAGCAATAGATGCATATAATCAGATGTGTGATTATATAGTTCTTTTTAGTGATGACATTTTAATTGAAAGCACAAATTGGATGTTAAAAACTCACCAAGAATTTATGACAATTTCAAATGAGAAAAAAGTTCCACGCGGTTTTGGAACTGTTGCATTTACTGAATTAACGTTTCCAGGATTTTCAACATTTCCTATAATATCACGGATTCATATTGATATATTTGAAAGTAAACCATTTCCCCAAATCTTTACAAACCAGGATGTGGGCTCATATATTTTTCAATTATATCGCCGGTTTGGCTGCTCAGTTATATCAAAAAAACTCAAACTCATGAATCTTAAAGGAGGCAGTAAAAAACCACATTATAAAAGAACGTCTCACGACTGGAGTTTTTCCATTTTGGATGATGCTGTATTATCTGTTGAAAAGTGGATGCATAATACAATCAAAAACCCTATTCCGAAACTCATCACGCTAGATGTAGTTGTGCCAACATATAGGGTTCAAATGGAATATTTAAAGCCTATACTCCAGCTTAAAGGATCTAAAACTGCGTCCACCTCGATAGTAATAATTGTAGATAACCCAAACTCAAATATTAGTGATCTAAAAAAATTTGAAAATAATGCATTCGTTCGCATTCATGTACATGAAAAAAATCTTGGAGCTAGCGAAGCTAGAAACAGTGGATTATTAGAATCATGCGCAGATTACGTTTTATTTCTTGACGATGACGTAATTCCTGAGTCGGATATTTTAATAGAAGCAGAGAAAGTAATCCGAAAGTATCCAAAAGCTTGTGGATTCGTCGGATGTACTAAATTCCCTGATCCAAAATCTATTTTTACAAATGCTGTAAAAATGTCAGGAATTACCTCTTTTTTTGACATTGCTGAGAAAATAGAGGAAAACATTCCATGGGGTGTAACTGCAAACTTATTAGTTCGTCGTTACAAAGATGATATAACATTTAATTCTATATTCCCGAAAACAGGAGGTGGTGAGGACATTGATTATTGTCTGCAAAAAAGTAAATTTTTTACACAAAATATTCAAAATGGAGAGGGTTTTAGAGGTGCACCTTCAATAAAAGCGGTGCACCCCTGGTGGAATGATGGGAAAAGATCATATTCTAAGTTTGCTAAATGGGCATATGGTGATGGACAATTAATTAAAATGTATCCAGAATACAGATATAAAGACAGTTTCCCAAATAGAGCAGAACTTTTATTATTACTTTCATCGTTTCTTTTAATTTTCCTTTTGATGAAAATATTGATGAACAATCCAATATTAAATGATCTGACGCTCATAACAGCTATAGCAATTCCCTTAGTAATTTTTGCAAGTATGATCTTTGATATTATTGTCTTCGTTATAATAGAACCTGAATCTTATGTTCCGGAATTAAAAGGATATCGTCGCATAATTGCGGCGTCGGAAGCAGCATTTATACAAATCGTTAGTGAATCAGGGAGGCTCTGTGGAAAATTATGTAGAAAAGAGTGGTGTTATATTGGATGGAGGTTCGATTGGTTTGCTAATAGACTTGATGATATTAAAATCGCAAAAAGATCATCGATGATGAGATTTAATATATGGGCAATCTTGGTTCTCATTGCGCTTCCTTATATAAGGTTTAATACTCATAAATCAGAAGATTGTTAAAATAAAAATTTATTGCAAAATTCGGTATCGAATTATAATGAGTTATATAGTTTATTGTTTAACATTCGGTTATAAGGTATCAAATATTGTAAATGAGAATATATTGGAAAGATATACAGTCAGTCTCGATATAGTCAAATAATAAAAAATTAATTTCATTTTATCAATTATTATAAAGCATTGTAAAACATAAGAAAATTAACCCTTTTTATAGCCACTTTTTATTAATTAAAAAAAAACTTGCATTTGCTTGAAGTTAAACCTGCCTAAACTTGTTAACTAATGCATGCAGGAAGATCTAATCTCAGGGGTTAGTTTCAGTCAGGCTTAACTTCAAACATGACAATAATATCTATTATGTTTTTATTATCTTTCTAAGTTTTTAGCAAAAATTTTCACGTTAGGGTTAGTATTTAGGGTTAGAGTTAAGGTTTGGGAGGGTTTTGGAGCGTAAAACATTACACCTTACACCAATTAATTGGCCAGTTTTTGAGATAATGTATTAATAGGTGTAAGGCACCATAGGTGCATTTTACTAAAAGTCAAATTTTATATATTTATTTTTTATTCTTAATAAAGACTTACTTTTGACTGTATCTGAATACAATTAGTTATAGTAATTTTTATCTTTTCTAAAGATTAGTAAAGCTACTAGCTAATTTATATTAGAAATATTAAATAAAAATATTTAGAATTCTTAAAAAATTTAATTTGGTTAACTTTAATTTTTTTTAAAATTGTATTCTAATTCTAAATTTTAATCAAAAATAAAATATTAGTATTACTACAATAATAAATACTAAAATTAAATTTAAAATGGCTTTTATAATTTGGCAGAACGGAGAGAAACGAAATGGAAGACCTTAAAGCCAACAAAACGGGTTGTTTGCAAAAGTAGATGGATTCAATGGCGAATATTCCATCGGATCGACAAATCGCATCTGATCACACGTGCATAATAAAAACGTTTGTCATTAACTTTAATTTTTAATTAAATCTGTACGATTCGTATGTATGTACGTACAGTACGTACACCAAATTCTGGGGTAAGTATAATACAGATGATACGTATAGTGATGAGAATTGATTTTTTAATTGTATTTCTTTACCTTTTTACTAATATAAATGCTTATAGGTTTTTACTCTTTAAATGCACGTTTGATTAATTATTTACATATGGTCCCGTGCAGTGTATTTAAAAAGGGTTGACTGTATTTCCTGTTTTATATTCTATATATAGTCAAACCAAAAAAAATGCGCGCTCTAAGAAAATCTTCTCTGGATATGATCCAATATAACAAAGATTTTTATCTCCTCAAATGCAATACTCCTGTTTATTCTCTGTCCCTAATTGTCTACTCATGATTTTTTTTTTACTGTCATTTTCATGGCTTACATCACAATGCTTAATATTTTAATTGATATCTTGGCCAATATCTTCACGATTGATGTTATAATAATAGTTATTTTCATAAATTAGCCGTATATTACAGTCATACCTAGTATCACAAATTTTTAATTTGTGGCATAGAGAAATCGATTTTCTTTCTTTTTATGTATATAGATATTCCTTTTAAAGCATTAGTATTTCTTATTTCCATTTTTATATTATGATAGATAAAATTCAGAAGAAACTTGTATTTACCCTAATGTTAACGTATGAACATTCATTTTTGTATAAACTATATAGTGATAGCACGCTAACGTGTTAGCACGTATACGTGTTATTAAGGGGTAAGATTTTATTGGTATCGAAGGTTCGCGATAACACGCTAACGTGTTGGGCTTAAAAAATTTATGAACCATTAGCACGTCAGCGTGCTAAAATAGCACGTTAAAGTGCTAAAGTAACACGTTAATGTGTAGGATAGTAACTAAAATGTATATAAACACTATCTTTTGACCTTTAATAAAGGGGAGAGAAGATTTTCACCGAATTTGTCTTAGAATAGAAAGAGAGATTCCCTTCGACTTTACTTAAGATAAATAAAGGAAGTAAACTAGTGTAGTGCTGAAGAGACCTTTATTAAAGTAAATCCGAGCCTATCTCCCAGTAACTATTAGAGTGTAAATCGGTATAGTTTTAGTTCTCTCCCGAATAATAGTTACACTAGGTTATATCACCCCTTTTTTCCAGAACATTTTTGGGGATATTACTAAGGCAGGGATATAACTCAATATACGAAACATATAAAAATATATAAAAAAAGAAATTTATTCTGCTTAAATATGGGGATATAACTTAGGTATGACTGTATTATTAAATATATAAAAAAAAAGTTAATATCTAATTTATAACTTCTCAATTTTAATTTTATAAACTAATACTGAAGACCCTCGTTAATATTAACCCATTTGGATTAGATAATTATGTTAATTCTATGAGGGTTGATAACAACGCGATGATTATTTATATATCAAACCACATTTTTTACTAATGAGAGGTTGATATTAACGAAAGCCACTTGTATAAATGCTTATTTTCGTGTTTTCAAATTACTGTAATCAGGAATATATTAAAATGCAAGCCTGTGATAAAAATTATACTATAGTAAACAATTGTACTGTGTATATTATGCATAAAGTTCTAATATTAGTTATTTTTTAAAATTTGATTCTCATAGAAGTTTTTAATATTGATCGTAAGATCAGGTGTAACGTTAGATCTAACTAACAATCACATTTTTTTTACGTTCTAATGAAACTTTCTCACCACATGTTGTCATATACTACTAGGCCTTAACATATGAATTTATCCCATGGGTACTATGTAACAACCCGTGCTTTTTTGACAAGGTTATTTGGGGTGTTATCTATTAAAACAGCCCTTTTTTACAATTTTTTGAAAATTGAGTTTTTATTAGATTCATATAAATTTT